TCTTATAATCAAAAATCGTGTTTTTTAAGTTGTGTAAGTTGATCTTGTCAGATGTGTCATTCTAATTTCTGGGGCACCATTGCCAGTTCAACAAAAATATTATATAAAACCAGCTAAAAGCAGGACTGTGTGACATACCGCCAGTTGTGACAACACTAAAAACTAAAACATTATCGAGCATTCTCGATCAATCAGTCACATTAAATTTGTTTAAACATGCATCCTAAAAAATTCTCATATTAATTTTGTAATTTTCCATCATCTCAACTAATTACCATTGATTTGTAATTATTATGTAATTATCATTGATTTGTATTTTAGAACAATTTATGAAAATATTTCAATTCAAAAATAATGACAGATAATCAACCTAGACAAACTTCAAATTATTATAATAAAATATTACAGTGAGATATTGGATTGAAACTGTCACGTTTTGAAAAGCGTTTTTTCGTCACGGATGCCAATACCACATGTTTAAAGATCCTGCAAAACATTTTGGACAATAACTCAACCCTGTCTTTGCTTATTTAATTTCTTAGATACGGTTTTTTGATGTTAATGATAAAAATAATACCTATCTATTAGGTGAACACAGGTTTACATTGAGAAAAAAAAGTGTACCAGTTTTATATGACGGGAAGTGTACCTAGTTGTAAATAATCTTCTCCATTTAAACTTTAAGAACCAACGCAACGGTTTAATACTCTTCATCTTTTTTCCTGTACATCTTAGACCAAAAATTACTTTTTTCGGATATTATATTCATGTTTCGTAATTTTTTTTACAATCAAGAGAACTAATCGATAATTATTCGATAGCTTTCAGCATTGTCTTTATTTTCGGCTGAAATACATTTATTAGTAAACTAGAAAGTTTTTAAAAACTCCCTACTTGTATACGAAAACAAAATATCTCCCCCCTGAGGTGACATTAAAAACTCCGTTAAGCCCCAGTATTACTGAGACATTAGAACAACAGGTTCTTCTTCTTCATGTGCCATATCAGAATTATCCGACGTTGGCGATCACCATTGCGAAGGCTTCTCCTTCGCAATCGAAGGAGAAACTTCTCCTTCGCAAACTGTTGTCATCTATTCCGATATTTTTCAGTATTTACAATAATTTTACATACTGTACTTTATCGAATGCCCTTTCGAAGTCCACAAAACATGCAAATACATCTTTTCTTTGGTCACGGCATTCTTGTAATAGGATGTTAAGCGCAAAAAGTGCCTCCCTGGTTCCCATAGCTTTTCTAAAACCAAATTGGGTATCTTCAAGATCTTCTTCACATTTGCGTCTCATTCTGTTGTGAAGTATTCTTAGTAAAATTTTAAGAGTGTGGCTCATTAGGCTAATTAATCGATATTCGATATTTTCTCGCATTGTGTTTTTTAAGTATTGCGACAAAGATGGATTTGAGCCAATCTGTGGGAATCACTCCGGTGTTATATATTGAATTAAAAAGTCTTACTACTACTTTTATATTATCATCCTCTATTGGTTTCAGCAACTTAGTGTATCAGCTGGACCACAAGCTTTTCTAATTGTAACATTATTTTTATAGAGTGTTCTACCTCACATTTCATAATTTCTGGGCCGTCAGTACAGTTTTGGTAGAATTCGGCAATATTATTCCTGTCATCTTCAAACAACTCTGATATATACAGCTGCCATTATTTTCTTATTTCGTGCTCATTTACAATAATTTTGTTATTATTGTCAACGAGCACAGAGGGAACTCGTTTTTTTTTAAATATGCTACTCATTTCTTTTAGTTTTTTGTACACATTAAATAAGTCGTGTTTAGATATTACATCCTCTATTTCGTCGCACCTTTCTCTTATCCATTTTTCTTTGGCTTATTTGATTTCCTTTTTTATTCTTCTCTGCAGGTGTCTATATTCTGTTTCATTAGATTTTATCAGTCGACGTTGTTCCATTAATTTCAAGATATCGTCTGTCATCCATTTATTTTTCTTGATTAGGTTTTTTCGATGTAATCATTGTTTGTGGCTATTTCGTTAACTTGGTTTTTAAATAGGTAAAGAAATAATAAATAAGACTTACTCACAATCAATTTAATTTAACTATTCAGACGACCGGTTTCGCTTTCTACAATATGCAAAGCATCTTCAGGTCTCGATACAAAGTTAAATAAATTATGCCGGTACTCTATTAATTGATGGATGGTAGAACATGGTTGAAACTATCATGTATTGTTGAATGGAGAACTTAAGTCCGCTATTGTAGCTTTTTGTTAAATAGGTGTTAGATAGGTGTGTGATTGTTTGTTAAATGAAAATTGGTCACATATTTACTCAGTTCTAATGTTACAAATATTCCTACACCATTTTTGTGATGCGGGTCTTCTGTGCTGTTATTACTTAACAAGCCCTACAATTGGCAAATAGGAACCTGTCCACTACATGGATGACATAGAATGAACCATGGGAAACACAAACTAACAAATTTATAAAATTTGATAAATTACATCTTAAATTACGTAAAATTATCACGTCCGTTAATTAAAAAGCAACTCGAGTTATCACCACAAACAAAAAATAGATACGAGTCACAAAAACCTTATCAAAACGTGCTACTCGCACGTTTCGATAAGGTAATATTTCGATAAGTGAATCTGAATGTCTGGGAGGAGAGTTTATGTAAACATTTGAAAAAGGCGCTGAGATAAAACAGTTCTACATCGAGCGGTCTAGATGTCCAGAAAGAGTCAATCCAGTATCGGCAAATAACTGTAACCAAAAAACAAACGTTTTCTTACCGTGTACTAATAATGCTATACCTATATGGAATTGGTAAAATCTTAGCAAAACATAATGATTCATCTTCAAACCAACAAAGACGATACTAGAACATCTACGATCTGTCAAAGATCCACCAGAACTATTGTCCACCCCAAGAATGTAGCGCATTACCATTTGAGGTTCAGTATACATTCGTTTTGGAGTCCAATGAGTTTAAATACTCATTTGACTAATCCCAGGGAAATCCATGGATGTTCAAAGAGGCTAGCGAAATTCAAAACGTGCGACAATCATTACATAGTCTTAAAATCATTGGAGAAGCGCATCTGCAGACATCTCTGCAGCAAAAAGATATCCAGAAAAATTTGCGAACCTGGTAGTTGGTAGAGGATATACACCTGAGCAAGTATTTAATTCAGACAAAGGTCCACCGTTTTGGAAGAGAATGTCTAATAAAACTTTCATTTTTAAAATCGAAAAGTCTGACCTGGATTTAAGGCAGCAAATGGTAGAGTTACACTGCTGCTTTATTCTAATGTATCTGGAGATTGTGTTATTAAACCATTGATGCTTTGTAGATCTTTAAATCTTCGTGCGTTAAAAAATCAAAACAAGGACGACCTGCCAGTGTTTTGGCGTGATAAAGCTTTGGTTATAAACGCTATTGTTTGTGATTGATTACAGAATTGTTTTGGTTCTGAAGTTGAAACTTATTTGAAATAAAAGAATTTAGACTTTTAAGTAGTTCTAGTTTTGAACAATGTAGGTACTAGGTTATCCTCGCGAACTTGAAACAATGTATCCAAATATAAAAGTGTATTTTTTATCCACCAATACGACAGCTGTGCTTCAACCTATGAACCAAGGAATAATCCGGGTTTTTAAGTTCTATTACATTCGACGAATCTTCAAAATGATACTGAATAATATAGAATGTGATCCTGATACTAATGTTATGGAATACTGGAAGAAATTTGACATAGCAAAATGCATCGTAAACATTAAAGAATCATTGCCAGAACAGAAGCCATTGAAATCATGCTAAAAAAAATTATGACCTGTTTTGACTGCGGGAAATGGGGAAGAATCTGTGCAAGTTCAAAGTTTACTTGCAAAAATTGCCGAAATTGCTAGTGGAATAGGATGAGATGGCTTTGAATAAATAGAATTAAGTGACGTTAAGGAGTTGCTTGAATCACAAGATGAATATTTGACTGAAATCGGCTTGGAGGAAATGTTAAATTTATAACCCATTGAAAATTGAATAAAAAATTTATGAAAATTCATCCATCTATGGAACGAAGTCTTATTTTTAAGAGGCAAATTGCTAATGCCACAGCTGCATAACATTCTGATTTGAAGGAGTTTTTAAAAACTGCCAAGACAAAATTACTAAATTCTTTAAACAATTGCCTAAACCTGAAGATAATATTTACCTAATTAATCAATATTTTTGGTCAAAAACTTCAATTAAACTAATTTTTTCATGTATTTGCTTTTTTATTTCGTCATCTAGGAACGTATCCCCTATAACTCCATATAAATTACCATTTCATATTTACAGTTTCTGTTTTCGCGGCATTTTAGGGAACATAGATGATATACCCCGCGAATAAAGAGCTTTTACCTACAGCAATTGCAGAGTAATAATATGAAATGAATGAAATGGATTTATGATAAAAATTGACATTAAAAACCATAAAAGCCATAAAATTATTAGGTATGGAATTAATGGACTTTTTTGAAACCGTGATGTTGAAACGGTTATCCTACTTGTCCTGTATATCAAAAGCCATTTTTTAACATAAGCTTCGTAACTATATTAAACTAATATCAAAATCAAAAACTTTATCTTTTATCATATTTACAAAATCCACCGAGGTTTAACTTTCCGTCACTCTGTATATACATCTAAAAATATTTAGGGCTTAAGCCAAACCTGCAGTTTATTTATACGTTTGTGTACTGATGATCATAATTAATATCAATAACGGCTAAGTATAGTAAATAAATATTTACATTTTAAACACAACGTGCATTTCCTGATTGTAATCCATTTTGTCAATTCAATGAAACCCCTTAGTGCCCTTTTAATCTCATTCATTTCAATTGTATTATAGTCACGTTCCTAGCTTTAAGAAATTTACCATTCACAGACTACCACTTCTGTCAAATTCTAAACGCAAAATTGTACACAGATCACAAAATATAAAATTCTACAGTGAACCAGTTGTATCTGTAATGTCCTAAATTGAGATTCTAAAAGCACGGTGATTCTGGTTTTAATGGATTTAATTAATTTAATGGAGACGTAATTCCCGAATTAAGTAAACTTAACCATTTGGTATATGATTATGTGGTATCACCATGACATTATCAATAAAGTTCATTACTTATCTTATCTTATACATCAAACGATTTGAATTATGGCACAGTGGCTAATCTAAATTTTCTGTGATTAAAATTTGCAGTGGAAACAATAAGAAACAACAAAAATGGCACAGTTACCTAATAACGATCTTTTTCCACCCTCACCTTACTGTAAAAGTTATGTTAATGAGGAGGAAATTACCTACAAAACAGAAAATCCTCTGACGACAATTATAGTAGCAAACCCAGGAAAAATATTACAATTATGTGAAAACCTTACTGATACACATACAAAAAACCTAGAAGCTAAAATGAATATGTATGTAAGTATTACTTTCATTCAAATTAATAAAAATACTGACAATTTACTGAAATAACCTATGCACAATATGTTTGTTTACATACACAAATAATTAATTGACTAATGATTATATTGTTATTGCGTTTTTCTAAGAAACATACACTAGACTTATGTCAGCTAACTAAGATTGAGCCAAACTTTTTTCAGGAAAATTGCGCTTTTCCTACACGTTTTTACATTTTCTAATCAAACAATTTATCACTGAAATGTCACAACTTATTTTAAACAATTTTATCATATTTTCTATTATTTTATTTCTAACAGTGTTTATTACCCTTGAAAGTTTTTTTAAGTCTCTTCATTATCATTGTATAATATTTTTATTTTGATTGTATATTGTTTTTAAGATTAGATCCAGTAATCTTTTCTCTTGATTCCTGCTTCTAATCACATTCCCTAGAATATTAAAAAATGCACATAAACAAAATAAAAACAATCAATAGGATAATAAGTAACAAACAGGAAAATATATGAGTACCAAGCAAATAAAATACAGTGAAGTAAATCTAATAAAAGATATGATAAAAGTATAAGAATAATATTTTCAGTTTTCCATTGCTATTTTTACCACTTTCTTCTATGTTTTTATAGGTTTTAAGTTCCACTCCTTTGTTTCTCCATTTTGTTATTTTTATTGTTATTAATATCATTTTTCATACTATCTGTCAATTTTTGTATGGTCTTCCTTTTTTCTCCAATAAGTTTCCTATTTAATGCAATTTATCTTATGTTCTGAGTTTTTACAGGTGTTATTTTTTTTAGATTATTGCATTGTGACTTTATTTGTCCATTTATGACATATTTACCCCTCCATATATAGCTTTCAATATTATCTTTCTCAAATTTTAGAATTATTCATCCTCCAATTTTTTTAAAACTAACATTTTATTATAAGCAGTATGTTATAAGAACTATTTAGAGTATATTTAAGCAAAACTTCCAAGTAATCCTCACCCTTTTTGGAGGCATGTTAGTGCTACATGTGGGTCTAGTGCTTATCCTAATATAATGACTAATAAGGTGGGGGATGTAATAGCTCAGAATGGTGAGGAAATAATCTATGTGCCCCTTATTTTTCAGGTACATATGATAGTGAGTATAATTTACCTAATTTTGAATTGGACTATAGTGTGGATTTCCACACTATAGTCAGTCAATCAATCAATCAATCAATCAATATTCTTTATTTCATCTGACTTTTACAAGTATTGAAATGCATCAAAATACAATCTAAAAAACTATAGGTACGTAGGTAGTAAAAAAGTAAAAACTATAAGCACATAAAACATAAAATATCCCCAAAACATACAAATTGTTAAAAAGATGCCTGCAAGTATTCCTCTGACGAGTAGAAAGTGTTTGCCAGAAGTAAGTCCTTAACTGTTCTCTTAAATACATAAATATTTGACTCTTTAACGTAATTAGGTAATTTATTATACAAACTAATGCATGTTGGGTAAGGATCCTTGCCCACAATAGTCAAGTGACGAGCAGGGGTCACCAAATCATTTCTGTAACGAAAATTGTAGCCACTCATTAAGGAAACATCATTTCTGCAAATAAAATTACATCTATGTGACTTTACATAAACAACACAACTGAAAATATACAGAGAAATTACAGTTAAAATATTTAATTGTGTAAAAACTAGTCTACAGGAATCCAAGCGCCTTCTAAATGTCATGATACGAATAATTTTTTTTTTGAAGAACAAGCACCTCATTAATTCACGAGCAATTTCCCCAACAAACTAAGCAATATTGCAAAATAGTAAAGTTTCAAGATATCTAGGGAGACGAAATTCCTAAGTTGTCTTAGAACATAACAGTGTACAGACAATCTTCCCACTACAGAATCAACTTGAGAACTCCAAGACAAATTAGAATCCAGGTAAACACCTAACAACTTAGTGGAGTGGCTATTTACCACAGACCCATTGTCAAGCTTTACTAATGGACTCATCTGCATAGTAGAAGGTGAAAAGGTTACCATATTGGTCTTTGATCCATTTAAGAATAGGGCATTATTTAAACAGTAATGAGTCATACTTTTTACAAGACAGTTTGCTTTTTGTACTACATGAAAAAAATTATTGGAATTTAGTGCAACTGTGTTATCGTCAGCAAATTGAGTGACGTAACAGTCTGATTGCTGTTCCAACTTTTCTCCTCGAACGCTTATTGCATCAGAAAAATTATCTAATGGATTCCGAACCCAACATGTTGAGCTATTGTTTATCAGTTGATTTAAATCATCGACGAAAATCAAAAATAAAAGAGGGCCAATGATACTTCCCTGTGGAACTCCGGAGAGGACACTTTCTTCTGAAGAAAATATTATATTCCCATTCACATTGACCTTAATTTTTTGAAACCTTTTCGATAAAAAGGTTTGCACCCACTTTAACGCAGTTCCTCTAACACCACTATGATAAAGTTTTTCCAGCAGTATTGGATGATTTACAGTTTCAAAAGCTCGTGCTAAGTCAAAAATCAAACAGATAACTTTATTACCCTTATCAAAGTCCGATAAAATATGATTGCACAGCGCTAGTAGTGCATCTTGCACAGTTAGACCTTCACGGAAACCAAATTGAGACTTTTTTATAATGTTGTGCCTTTTAATATACGAGAGGAGACGTGTATGAAATGCCTTTTCATATATTTTTGAAAACACAGATAAAAGTGATAGGCCTCGATAGTTATCAAATTTTGATTTGTCACCTTTTTTATGTATGGGCACAACTAGAGCAGTATTTAGAATTTGAGGAAAAATCCCTTCCTGAATTGAAAGGTTTACTAGAAATGTTAATTGTTTATATATGTTATGAGATACATGTAATAACATAGAATACGGGATCTCATCCAGTCCAGCAGAGGATTTTTTTGAGATATCTTTAATTATGCTCTTTATTTCTTCATCACTAACAGGATAAAGGAAAAGGGAGTGTATAGGCGAAGAAAGATTCTTAGGATTATAGTCAGGTAAAGTTTGACTAATTAAATTTTTTACGAAATTCGAAAAATGTTGACTAAAAGATTCAGCTATATCACGAGGGTCATCCACAGAAATTCCCAAATTATTTTTAAATTTACTTGGGTATTTAGAAGAGTTTCGATTTTTACCTCCGACAGTGTTTCGATTTATGATGCGCCAAGCCTCAGTCCCCCGCTCGCAGAAATATTTACTGAGACCAATGGAGTCCAAAATTTGTTTGGTAGTAACAAATTACAAGTACACCATTCCTTTTAAATCTTTAATAAAAACACACAGAATTATAATTCCCAAGTATACTGAATCTCATCAAGTAAATTACATCCTCCTAAAATCCATACTAGATGATTTACAGATTGGTCTAAGACGAAGGAAGGTGTTGGTTGGAAATACAAACCAATCATTGATATATAAATTACCTCCTGTTTGTAGCATTTATACTTCCGAGCTGTTTGCAATTATAAAAGGTGTTAACTGGTTCAAATTCAAATTCTGCTTGATCGTATTCACGAGGTAGGAGAGGAAATGGGCATTAAAATAAACTCACACAAAACCAAATTTTTAGAGTTTAGTCGTGACCCACATCCTGATGCAAAGCTTTAATTGAACGGAGTCCAAGTTGAGAAATTTCACAAAATGACATATTTTGGAACTATGATAACGGACCAACTAGATCCAGATATAGAAATAAAACTTAGAATAGCAATGACTAAAACTACTTTTATGAAAATAAAGTCATTTCTTTGCAATAACCATCTGAGTTTAGAACTAAGGCAAAGAATGGTTAAGTGCTATTTTTGGTCTGTACTTTTGTAAAGTGCAGAAGTGTGGACGCTAAAAGTATCGATCATGAACCAAATTGAAGCATTGGAAATGTAGGTTCATAGATGAATGCTGAAGATACCTTGGACTGCAAGAAAAACTAATGAAGAAGTACTAAGGAGCGTCAACAAAGATAGAGAACTGCTAACATCGAAAAATCTGTGATCTGGGACATATAGTAAGGGGAAGTCGATATAAAATTTTACAAACAAGAAGAAAACAAGTTTCTTGGTTAAAAAACATTCGTGAATGGACTTAGGTACCAAATGCAGGACAATTATTCCATATTGCAGAAGATCGAGAAGCCTTCGCAATGGTGATCGCCAACGTCGGATAATTCTGATATGACACGCGAAGAAGAAGTTAACTGGTTAACAATCAATAACATACTCGAAGGAGTAATATTAACAGATTCTAAATCTGCATTAGACTCAATAAAAAATACAAAATTAGAAGGAATGAAGTTTCCTTGTTATGTTCCTTGTTATGATCCATGTTATGTTGTTTAAAAAATATGATTGCAAATTTAAATATAACATTTATTTGGGTTAGAGGCCATGTAGGTATACCAGGGAATGAAAAAGCTGATACTCTAGCTAAGGAATCAGTGCAGAATGGAGTCTTTTGCAATATTTATACAGTAACAGATATATTTGACTCAATAAAAATAAAATAAGGCTGAAATGGGAACAGCAATGGGAGAATATTGTTGAAAACTCGCAAAATACATATTTCCAGATACACCATACTTTACCACTCCCACCCCAATACATATTCAATTACTCAACTACCAAATTCTTCTCGGCAAGTGTATTTCGTATCAAAACGAATCATGGTCGATTCCTGTCACATTTATTTAAGCTTGGAATATTATCGGCACCATCCTGCAATTGTGATATAAGTGCTTAAGTACGGAGATCTTAATATTTTCTTTGGATGCAACAAATATTTAGAAAAATCTAATAACTTAATTCAAACTCTTAGTGAAATGAATTATTTGCTTTTGTTAAGTCTATCATATATTTTGGCAACTGCTAATACAGAAACTTTAGAATTGCTAATAAATTTTATTAAAGATCTAAAGGTAGAAATATAAATTAGTATAACTTCAGTGATTTATACATATATCTAAAAAAAACTAACAAACAAGAACAAAAAATATCTTATGAATAAAACATTCTGTGGCTGATGGACTTGTTTCCGTGCCATATCTTTCACACACACTCACACCATGTATAAGACATGTTATTACAAAGTGTATATGTATATTGTATAAATCATATGTGTATTGTTTATTTTGACTCAATTTTTTGATCAATTAATAAATATTTGCTTTTAGTTTCAAGCTGAAGTAGACGCTAAAAAAGTATTTTTTATAAATTTATTTACTGTGTCAGATGAGGCGATAATTCAAGTAGTGCAGGATAAAATTTTAGAAACTCCAATAAGATCTTGTTTATGTGAAGACACAATAAGCAACTTAGTAGTATATAAAGATAGCGGGTTAAAATGTGATAATTTAGATCCAAAAATACAAACTATGATTGATGAGGTCATAAAGGATGAAGGAGAACACAATCTTATAATTGTTCCTGTGATTGCCAAAGAGAGGAAAGGTATGTTGTTTTTATTTTTAATAATATATTATATAAAACTGACAATATTAGGGTGCCGTGGGATAAAAAATATACATATATGTATAAATTATGAGAATATTATATGTGTACAGTTTTAAGGATGTATCATTTTAAATTATATGAATGTTGCATACATGCCGATACAAGGAATGTTGTTATATTTACGTAGAAACATACTTAAAGCTCCGTTATGGTTAGTTGGTGTTTGATGGTTATCGGCTTTACTGCACTTTGACAAATATAGGAAAGTTTTTGAGGAATCAGATATCAGTCTTTCAAACAGATATCTCTGAAATCCTGATATGTGCTCAGGAAATAATAGATAGGGCTTGCTCTGGCAGAACCATCTCTATCTGCTCTGACATTCAAGCAGCGCTAAGTGCCATGGAAGTGCCCAAAGTTAGCTATACACTGGTTCCTGACTGCAAGAGAGCACTTGCTGATGTGCTGATGTTGCGCTGACTAATAAAGTTAACTTAACTAAGCCCGAACCTGTGATTGGAGTGCCCCTCAGTACTGGTCGGGGTAGTCTTAAAGAGCTGCTTCTGCAGAGTTTCCAGGATTTCTTTTAGTAGTAGAGTAGTAGAAGTTTAATTATTCCAAAATAGGGAACGCCCTAATACATACAAAAGTAATGAATTTATAACATTAATACAAAATAAGATAAAAATAACAATTACACTTAAAATATAGTACCTACACTTATTAAAAACAATAATATATAACATAAAACATGACTACAAAACAACTACCTAACTATTGGTGCTTTTAATATAGGTCTTATAGGTCTGTAGTTTTCTAATTGGGGATCTCCTTTTTTGTACAATAGAATTAGCTCAGCATTCTGTCATGTGTTGGGTATAGTCATCGAGCAAAAAGACAAAAGAGGGAATGTAAAGGTAGTGGGGGCAAACATATTGTTAGACAGGAAGTGCGATCTTTAGAGGCCACATTAAACAAGGAAATAGAGAATCTCTCCTTGTTTGACATCAAATTTAGTTGGGTTATGTTATTGTTTGTCCCAAGTGTCACATGAAATCTTATTTATATGAAGTTTTTTAACAATTGTGTCGCATTTTAGACTCTTATCATTAATAATTAATTAACTTTCTCGTCTAAGACACATTCTGAAAAATATTATATAGCTACTGTTGATAAGTGTCGGAAAATTTAAATTTGGCTAATTCGCATTTCCGGATATGTCCGCCATCAGAGGCCACTTTTTTGGTCTCCTTTTCATAAGGATTAGATTCCCTCTTTTGTCTTATTGCTCGATGGGTATAGTACTGTCCAAAAGGCACATGTTAAAAAGGTTTAACCTTAATGTTATTATCCTTTTTTATTTTGACATTTTATGAACGTTGTAAAGTATTTTGTCTACGTATTTTAAAAATGAGATCATTTTAAATTGTCAGTTGTTTAAACTCAGGAATCAGAAACAAGTAGGTATTTGCACAGAAATATTTGGAAATTTATATATATTGTTGGTATCTTTTATCTATAAGTTTTCACTGATGATTACTATCCACTTACTAGTAATTCAAATATACTTACCTGAAGTGTAAATTTAATCTCTGTTACACAAAATATAGATTATAAAACGAAATATTTTTTATTTTCTTTGTAATGGATTTTTAATTAGTATGGAACTATTATACTAGATGTATCTTTGCTTAAGATAAGGAAATACAATGAAATACCTATATTTTATCGTATAAAGTAAATGTAGTTCATGACTAAAAATTTGTAATGAATAACTTACGGATAAAAATCTAGTACCCAGCGCTGTTCTATACCCTTGAGCCAAATGGAATAAATTCGATAAGAAATAAATGGGAGCGTGTTAAAAAAAAAACGCTTAGACACGTCGATTGATATTAGATTTTTAGTTGCCATTTTTTGCAATAAAAACTTTTATTACTTTTAAAACACTGTATAATATTCAATTTATGGATTCCTCAGAGTGTTCTAGACATATCTTATGTACAATGTCCTATACCTACCTTTAACGGTCTCGGGAATATTAAGTATTTTCAGATTTATTGCAAAATTTGCTACAACAAACTTAGTGCTTATTTCACCTGTAGGTCTTGATAATGAGAAAATAAACAAAATCTATTTCAGCCTTCTTTTTTTACTGATATAAAGTTTTAAAAAATAATTTTTATATTAGTTTGTTTACTGTAGTCTAAAACGCCTGACTTTAGAAAATTCTTGTCTGTCTACATGACAGTAGTTGTTAGTTTTAAAGTCGTTTGAGTTTCTTTTTTACAATACAGAACACAACAAACACAACAGGCATACAAGCATTATAAACAAATTAGAAATGAAACGAATACTTTGGTTAGACAAATAAAAAGCGAACATGGCAGAACTTCTCAAAACAGATGGAACACGACTTCTACAGAACAAAAAAAGAAATATGGAGAATGATCAGAAGACAAAAAAAAAGAGATGAACTAACTAATAAAAACGAAACACATTCAGAAGGAAACATGGGCAGAGTACTTTCGATCCCAATTTCCTAAAAGTGACGATAATGAACAACCAACACCAGAGGTGACGACAAACGAAGAAATAAATATTGAGGAGGAAGAGGTAAAGGAAGCATTAAGGGAATTAAACAACAGAAAATCGCCAGGAGAGGGCAGAATACCCAACGAACTCCTAAATTACGGAGGACCCGGTCTGATCAAACAACTATTAAAACTAATCCAACACATAATAGAATAAAATAGAATTCCTCAAGAATGGGGATCAAGCATCGTAATACCTGTCTTCAAAAAGAAAGACAAATCGGATCTGGAAAATTACAAGGGAATTAATTTATTAAACACAACACTAAAATTAACAACCAAAGTGATAAGAAATAAATTGAATGAAATGATAACTCTAGAAGAAGAACAGCAAGGTTTTAGGATCAATGTCGCAAAAACAACTGAAATTTTACAATTAACATTATTAGATTATTATTTTATTAACATTATTATGTTATTATTATTATTTTATTAACATTATATTATTAACATTATATAGGTCCCAAATATAGATTGCTACAAAATATCATGCAAGGAAAAATAGCAGGCAAACGCAGTCCAGGACGAAGAAGAACCTCATGGTTGAAGAACTTGCGAGATTGGTATGGTGTAGATACAAGCATGCTATTCAGGGTGGCAGTGAATAAAATTAAAATAGCTATGATGGTAACCAACGTTCTGAAAGGACATGGTACACGAAGAAGAAGAAGATTATTAGAAATATCTATTTTTGGAGCATCACAACTTGTACTCGTTTGCTTAAACACTTGATTCGAGGTACTGGATTGATTTTCTGGTCCGCCAAGTATACACTTGGATACAGCAATCTTATTGCTTATTGACTCTTCAATGTAAGATTCTGCAACAGATGACGACTTCCACCCACCTAAACGTTTAACTTTTACTAGATCAGCTCCAGAATTTGCGAACATAGTAGCTGAAGAACGACGGAAACAATGCCCGTGTACATTTCTGAATTTGCAAGTTTAAAAAAAAACTGCAATCTTCTTGGGGATATTATATATAGTGTTAATCCCCACCGGTTAAGTAGTGCACTTTTGCTGTCGGTAATTTACAAAAATCTTACTGTGAGGTACGTTTTTGGGGCGCAAGGCAATATACTTTCTCACAATTTCCAAGAAACTCAGTCCACTTTTCTTGTCACTTTTTCTTCCACTTTTTCACCTAAACTTAAAGTCTTGCTATAGAAAAAATGTTGTATTGCACACGACGATAAAATCGCATTTACTTCTCGAGCATACTTAGCGTCTCGACTGATGTCTCGACGCTAAAAATCGCTCTCGAAGATAAAGTACAATTTTATCGTCCTGTACAATAAATAACTATTATTTTGATCTAAATTTAACTTAGTGTTTTTGACAGAAATGTAAAATATATTTTTGTTTTGATACAATACGTTAATGTGATTATTAATTATATGATAGGTCGTTATTAAGATGTATGGAACAATATAATATTACCTATATCAACTCATTTATTATTAATTGGTATTTAAACGAAACTTATCATTTTCCTTACACCGACTAATCGGTCGTTACGAGGCACAATGAGTTTTATTTTGCACCTTATTTCCGACCACATTTTAATCGATATTTGTTACAAAAAAATAGTTGTAGAAAATGGCATATTATCATTAAATATTATTTTTTTTCAGCAAACGTTACCAAAAAGCTAGTCGTTAGTCCCGTATATTTAATATGTTTCGTAAATACTCCAAAAGATTCCTGTTTTGTAACGAAGTTAGTAAATGAAACCTTAAATTATACATTGACACTACTGTTAAATACGAGACAATGTGAAGAAGAAAAGAGATTAAAGAACCAATGCCAGAGTTTACTTTCCGTTGCCAGAAGGCTATTTTCTCATCTAGGACATTTAAACGATCTTTTAAAAGAAATTATGTCAGAGGCCAGAAGACTTACGAATGCCGAACGATGTTCCCTCTTCCTTCTGGATCCAGATCATATGCATCTTGTAGCCAAAGTTTTTGATGGTGTAAGTCCGACGGATAAAAGTACTGAAGTGCGAATAGCGAAGGATCAGGGTATTGCAGGTAATTGATTGTTTTTATTAGTTTAGGGGTTTTTTATTGGTTTAATCTTAAGATTGCCTTCTATTGAATGTTATCTTGTAACGACAATATTTTGCTTACCTCAGGGTAAGAACATGAGGGGTAGAAGATTGGGCAAACAAAATAATCGAAACAAGTGCGAACGACACTCAGTTGGTTGTTGGAGAGCTGGGTCGTGGATAAGTTGAAATATGGGGGTTGGATTGGGGTATCTACTAAAATGAAGACAAAGGGATACTTACATAAATCTCCTGGACAATTGATATAACAAACAAATCAAAAATAGACTGGGAACACCTCAAGGAATTTAATATAGGGCGCCACTTGAAGGATCCTAGTTTACTGAAGGAAAGAAAAAATTTCTTCCCTAATATCTAAAATACATAAAAAGGTTTAGGAGATTTTTCTAAATAAAAATAAAAAAATAGGTTAGAGAAACAAATCTAACGTTTATTATTGTCTCAAACAAACAGTTTTCAAAATTACAGCTTATACAAAAGGCATACTATATAAAAATAGTTGTCAAATACAAATAAAGAAACTTACATGTTATCTGTTTACAAAGAGGTTACAAAAACCTTCGAAATGGTTCCTACTAAATAATGTGGCCAAATTAGATTAAAATTTTATGGATATCCTTTTGTGAAAAATAAAATTTAATCTTTACTATAAAATCAAAATATCTTTTACAACAGATTCAAAATCAAACTGTCATACGTCAAAACAAACATTTTTAAGACAGGATAAAATTATGACCGATGACAGTTTAAACCACGCCCTAACATAATATTTATTTTAATTACAAATTCTTTTAAAAAAATAATTTATAAAAGAAAGCAAATTTTGTCTTTTTAAAAGAAAATGTCTATTTTTACTTTAAAAATTAATAACGTAAATGTTACCTCAGTTCACACATGTTAACTTAAACTTTTGAACAACTGGCTAATAGGTATCTGTGGGGTATCTAACTGAACATCATCAACGGAAAACTTTAATGGAGGCTGGAACTGGCACACTGGCACATTTAAATCAAAACTGCTCCAATATCATTCTACGTGAGGTGAAGAGGCATCTTGAAAAGAAACTGGATTTCTAAAAAAAAAAAAACGAAAAGAAAGCAGGAACTAAATTTGTTCACTTCTCAAACATTATAAATCTTCAGCAAAATCAAAACAGTGGTTAGTGGTCACTCTCTCAAATACGACATATTACATAGAGTGAAAATTCCACCATTTTTGGCGAATTAATGCCGGGTTACCACATCACAATTAAACGACCTTTCCCTTCGAGCAATTCTTCATCACTCCTCTCTTGACCTTCTCGATCTCAACCTGCCGGATAGATACCGCCTCTCTTTTCCCCGCACAAGCATTGCTATCTTGTCAAATCAACAAATTCTTTACTCAAACTCGTCCAAACTTCCGGCGTTATTACGCCTTAGAAAAAAGAATACCAGGCTTGCAATATTTTTCTGGGAACGTTGAAGTTAAAAAGCCATAAATTGTTTTCCTTAGCAAATACGTCTTTATTTATTGAAGAATTATTGCGTATTTAAAAATCTCTACAGACAACCCATTTCTAGCATACCAGGGGCGTACTATGACAAATATAGAATCGAATTTATATTATTATTTAGACATTAAATATAAAACGCTACAATCTTCTTGTGGTACCTATCCGTTACGGATGTTGGCTACTAGCATGGCAATTCTAACTTTATTGACCGCAGCTCGAAATAGTCCTGAAAGTGGTCAAGGAAAACCATTTTCGTAAGTTCTGGAGCCAAGATATTCTTCTTCCTGGTCCCCTCTTTCCGTAGACCTTTCCCGTAATATAAGTTGCAGCAGGTTATATCTATGGTCGTTTCGTTTCGCATTATGTCTAAGATATTCTAGCTTGCGCTGTTTCACTGTGGATATAATTTTACATGTTTTATCCATCCGACGTAGAACCTCAATGTTTGTTATTCGGTCCACCTAGGAGATCCTCAGTATCCGTCTATAACACCACATCTCAAACGCCTCGAGTTTTCCCATGGATGCCTCGATTAGTGTCCATGATTCAACCCCATAGAGCAGCACTGTAAACACGTAGCATCTCAATAAACGGATTTTTGTTTTTAAGGGTAGGTCGTCGCTCTTAAATATTTTGCTCATTCTGGCAAAATCCGACCTGGCTTTTTCAATTCTTTGTATCTCAACTGAGTGGTCCCATTGGTCGTTTATGGTGGTTCCTAAATAGTAGTAACGGGGCACTTGGAGTATTTGTTGCTGATCTACCAGTAATTGACTAGGTGGAATATGCATCTTACTGATGACCATGTACAGTCCTCTCTCTCTCTATAACGATATGCAAGGAACCGGGAATTTTCATGGTTATAAGGAGAGATCGTTATACAGAAAGAGACAAAATTCGGTACTCTAATATTAATAATACTGTAGTAAATACCCTATTTTAATTAAAAAAATGTAGTAAAACGAATATAAATGAATTAAGGCTGTATTGTGCACTACATAGATTTATTAAAGAATAATACCAGCAATATGATATAAAAAAATGAATGTACAATTAAAACATGTGTACAGTACAATAAAAAAATAATATGCTACTGTAAAATATATTTTGCTTACATTACCAAAAAAAGTCTGTCACCTTGGTCTGTTTCCTTTTCCCTTTCCACAGAACTGACCTGACCTTGTCCTAAAGACGCATAGTATCTTCCACAGCACTGATATCGTCTTCCTGGTGGATGAAGAATAAATGCAGTACTTTTGCCACACTCAATGCCTACTGAGGGGTCGGAGCTAGTTCTGGCTCTGCTTCCACTTCTGGGTCACTGTTTTCTTCTTCTGCACGAACTGTAGGATGTCCTTTTCAGGGAGTCCAGATATTTTTGCTACATTTTCATCAAATTATTTAAAATCTGTTAGCTCTTCCGATCCGTAGGTGATAGTAAGTTCAAACTGTCTGTATCCTGCGTGTTTGAAGGAATGTTTTATTGTATTTGCTAATCACTAGGATGGCGTCAAGAATCTTTAGTTTAAGATTGCCATTGTTCTCAACCAATACCATCAAAAGTCTTCTTCTGTAATGGCTTTTCAAACTCTTGATGACATTTTGGTCCATCGGCTGGATCTCAAGGACACTCGTTGTGTTTGCTGGCAGAAAACAAAGTTCAATGTTTTGAGGGTCGTACAGTATAGGATGAGCAGGACAATTGTCTACAAGCAGAAGAATTTTTTTCCTTTTAAGCTCGATATCCCACTTTCTTATCGCTTCTTCAAAATTATTTGAAGTCATCCTCGCACTCTTGTTTTATTTATAGGTCACAGGTAGATTTATTATGTTTTTAAAGCAACGTGGATTTTTCAACTTCCCTATCACTTTTCGCTTCGCCGAACATATTTTCCTTTCAACAATTTTCGCTTCACAGAAAGTGGAATATGGTTCATTCGCTGCTACTGAAACCACTGAAGCATAGCGCGATCTAAATCTTCGTACTGAGGTTTCCGCAACTTCTTCCTGCTACCGCCCTACATCTCCGGTTCAAGCCTCTTTTTCCTGTCCTTCCGCATCGTAGCCACAGTTGACTGAGGAGTACGGCAAACGACATCCGATTGCTTTTCACCTTACGCTTTTTCGAAACCATGTTGACTGTTGACACACTGAGATACAACTCAAACTGGAAATGAAAAGTCGTCAATAGATGATATCTGTGTGATAAGAGTTAGGCACGACGCCCGAATAATAAAAGCGAGTCACTTAACCCTTTCATAAGAATGAGTAGAATGGGTGGCCGCATTCCTTAAGCGCAAATTAAAACAACCGCTGGACAACGACCTTGCCACTCATGACTTAGGTAGTCTGAACCTTAAACACAATAACACATTTGTCATCGACTATTTAACGCTGAAAAGTCATCGCTATAAAGAGAGAACGATATCGGTATAGAGAAAGAATTAATACGTTGTCCTTGCGGCGAACCAACCAACGTTTACTATTTTCATCGTTATGGAGAAATTATCGTTATATAGGGAATCGTTATAAAGAGAGACTACTGTACTTTGTTTTCTTGATCTTAAAATCAAGCCCGTACTCCTGACTGATTCTCCACAACTGCGTTACTAGTGTCTGTAAACCTTCTAAACTGTCTGCAAAGAGAATGGTATCGTCTGCATATCTGATGTTATTCAGGCATTCACCATTTATGAGAATACCCTCTTCGATATGCTCTAAGGCCTGGCTCATGACGTGTTCCGAATAGACGTTAAATAATAGGGGAGAGAGTATGCAGCCCTGTCGTACTCCTCTCTTTATTGCAACTTCTTCTGTTAGTTGGTCTTTCACCCGAATGGTTGCTGATTGGTTGTAGTATATGTTCTTGATTACTCGAAGGTCTTTGTTATCCAGATCAGTTGCCTTTAGTATATTCATGAGCTTATCGTGCTTGATTCTGTCGAAAGCTTTCTGATAGTCGATCAAGCATACATAAATATCGCAGTATTCTTCTCTGTATTATCTGTATGAAGGTCTTAAGAATGTGGCTCATTAGACTGATAATACGATGCTCTTCGCATTTTTTTGCGTTAGGTTTTTTAAGTATAGCAATAAATGTAGATTTTAACCAGCTCTCTGGGATTTTTCCCGAATCATAGATTTTATTAAACGTTGTCGTAAGCCATTTTACTCCTTCGTCTCCCATGATTTTTAGAACTTCTGAATGAAAGTTGTCGGGCGCTGGTGCTTTACCTTCTTTGGTTGCTTTAATTGCGGCTTTGACTTCGTCTCGAGTGATTGGTGGTGCTGTGTCGTATTGCATAATTATCTTTTTGTTATCTCTGTCATCGAATATCTTCTCAACGTATCTCTTCCATATATTCTTTGTTTGTTTAATATATATTACCGGGCTGCCATGATCATCAGTCATATGTCCTGATCTCTTAGGTTTGTACATTCCTGTTGCTTCTTTTACCTTCTTGTGGAGATTAAACGAGTCTTGTCTACTTTCCAATGATTCTATTAACTGCATTGATCTTCCAACCATCTGTTTTTGGTTTCTCTAATAGTTTTTTTTATTTCTTTGTCAATTCGTTTATACTTCCACATGTCTCTGTTTTTAGCTCTTCTTCTCTTCTCCATCATATTTAGGATTTTATCAGTAATCCACTCTTTCTTTTTAATCGTTGTTGGGCGAAGATTTTTATCTAGGATTGTCTGTAGTTTTGCCATTTCGTTATCTGGTTCATTAGCTTTGTCTGTATTTTTTAATTCTTTTTCTATATAGGTTTGTATCTGGTATCTGGTGTCTTAATTTTTTAATAGTCCTAAATCGTATTTTCTTGCTTTTATACTCTCTATCTTCGTCAGCTTTAGTCTGATCTTAACTACCAGAACCAGGATATGTTTTGGCTGATGTTATTAAGTTTCTGAAGCTTTTATTCACCATAATGTAGTCAATTTGGTTTCTGATGATGTGATCTGGGGTGTCTTGAGGTTATCTCCACGTATATAATCTCCTAGCTGGTCGTTTAAAGAAAGTGTTGGTGATTACCAGTTGTTGTTCTTCCACAGCGAAGGTGATCAGGCGATCTGCGCGTTAGTTTCGTTCCCCCAGTCCAGAGGGTTCTACGGTTCTCTCCATCTACCTTTTCCCACTTTGGCATTTAAGTCTCCTATAAGCATTATTATTTCGTTTTTGTGACGTTTTTTCAGATCACTCATTAATTCCGAATAGAAAGTTTCGATCTCTTCGTCTGATTTGTCTGCAGTAGGTGCATATACCTGGATTATGTTGGTTTTAACAGGGAAGGTATTAAACTGAATAAGAAGTCAAACACAATGACGGTATTAGATTTTGATTCGATACAGAGCAGCGACAAGCCGCATATACGTATTTCGACCTCTTTAGGTCTCCTCAGTACGGTATAGTCACTACTCCGTATCGAACCAAAATATTCCCTTGCCGATTTATTCATCAAGCTGTTTGCTTCGCTAGTTTTAGGTCTTATCAGTACGGTATAGCCACTACTCCGTATCGAACCAAAATATTTTCCCGTCGTAGACCATAGTTATTAAAAATAACTATGTACAGACGTAACTACGCCATCTAATAACAAAAAGAGAAATCATACGATCTCTACCTGGCGAAATCGAATTCAAATATCAGCCACCGTGCTTCCTAAAACTTGCGAAGCAAACAGCTTGATGAATAAATCGGCAAGGGAATCTAAAATTGCATTCCAAATGCCGTTCATCATGGCCAATATTCGTAGTGGATTCGATTTCTGGTACTCCAAACGAAGTAAAGAAATAAAACACAATGACGGTATTAGATTTTGATTCGATACAGAGCAGCGACAAGCCGCATATACTTATTTCGACGTCTTTAGATCTCCTCAGTACGGTATAGCCACTACTCCGTATCGAACCAAAATATTTTCCCGTCGTAGACCATAGTTATTAAAAATATTGGCCATGATGAACGGCATTTGGAATGCAATTTTAGATTCCCTTGCCGATTTATTCATCAAGCTGTTTGCTTCGCTAGTTTTAGGAAGCACGGTGGCTGATATTTGAATTTGATTTCGCCAGGTAGAAATCGTATGATTTCTCTTTTTGAATAAGAAGTATTCTCTCTGAGATTGGGACGAAGTTTGTGACGTATTTAGAGATGTTCTTATTCAGTATGATACCAACTCCGTTAATATGTAGGTCTCCTCTATTTCCGGAGTAATAAATCTAGTGGTCATGTACTGTGCACTGTCCAGATCCACTCCAGCGCATTTCACTTACACCCATTATATCGATAGCAAGTCTATCCATTTCCTTAATGGCATTGTGTTTCTTGAACTCCTCGTACATAGAAAGAACAGAAATACAGAATTTCGTTTTTTTTAATGCAAGTTTATGAGCAATGTGTGTCCAGTTTCATGTCAATTTAAAATGACGGATTTTTTTAAAACGATACCTTAACGTCCCCATTTTTACAAAGACTCTCGTGATTACGGTCGTCATAATTTTTACATGTACTTTTACAGTTTTCTTTGCAACAGCAGCTGTTTATAATTATACAAAATTTAATTGGAATAACATCTCATACTTCTATTTCTAGGTCACGTGGCAGCTACAGGTAAAACGCTTAATATAAAAAACGCTTACAAACATCCATTGTTCTATAAAGGAATGGACGAAGCTACAGGTTTCAAAACAAGAAACATCCTGTGTTTTCCAATTAGGGATGAAGACGGTATCGTTGGGGTGGCACAACTTTGTAATAAAATTGACGGAAATTTCGATTATTTCGACGAACAGGTCGCTAACGCTTTCAGTATTTATTGCGGTATCTCTATAATGCACAGTCTTGTTTACAAGAAAATACAAGACACACAGGCCAGGAGTCAGTTATCAAATGAACTAATGATGTATCATATGCGGGTATGTATTTTTTTAATTAAAAAATTTATTATAATAAGCAGTGTGTAAAAAAATAACAAAATTTGTTATTAACTCTATTCGTGAAAGGTTTACAAAAAAAAACCTCTCAATGATTTTTTTTAAACAAATGAAGCAATGTGTATGAGTAAATTAGAAATATACCGGGTGCGCCATTTCTATGAAATAACATAAAGATATTTTTTTGAATGGTACACATTGTATATTTTTTCTTCATCCTAATTTTTGTCGATAGGACACTCGAATCAAAAGATATTGAATTTTTACCGTTGAGCTGATTCACATTTTATTGAACATTGATTTCATGCGCGTAACTGACATTCAAAATCGACGGTCGCTTCAAGCCTTGTTTGTGAGAGAACGGTTCATTCTACACAAAAAGTGCTAATAAACATTTTTGTTTAAAATTATCTCAATGAACATAAGACAATGGAGAAGAAGGGCATAAGAGAGATCTGAATGGAAGGACATAGCCAGACAGGCAAAGACCCATCCAGGGTTATGATACCAAAAGAAGAAGAAGAAGTTTAAAATGATCTCAGTTAAATTTTTTTAAAAAACATTTTTTTCTACGGCATATGGATTCTTGATAAGTCGATTTTTTTGAGGTTTTACCCCCATACGAGGGGGATTTTAAGGAGGAGCCCAGGGGTGAAAGTGGTAAAGTTTTTGGAACCCCAAAAAAATATTCTCGCTAAAATTCAGCTTGTTCGTATGATAATTAGAGGTTCAGTAAGAGGCATTTTCGTCTCTGACTACGAGTATAACACTAGCACTAAAAACACAATCAATTAATTTATTAATACTACAAATTTATGTATTACACTAATTCTTACATTTAAATTTCCATGTATGTATATATATATATATATATATATATATATATATATATATTATAAAGTATAGTAGATTTTCTTGGGCTTAGGTTCATAAAAAAGATTGTCATAATACTAAGACATTTTTTTAAAATTTTTTTCTACGTTTCGGTAGGAAATCCATGCCTTTTCAAGAAATAATATTAACTAAAAAACATTTTATCAAAGAAATCTAAGGTGTTAAGGCTTATCCTCGAAAATTGTAACGGTAAAATTCAGAGAGATATCTATTTCAAAAATATCTTTCTTTACAAAAACAAAATCCATTCACGAAGAATATTCTAAACGTCATCTTGTACTAAAGGTTAGCTTTATACCTACCTTATACAACCCCCTATTGTGTAAAGTCTTGGGTATATACAATAAACGAGTGGGCGGCCTTCTATTCAGTGCGGTTTTGAAATAATGTTGAATAAAAACATTCATGAAATTAAAATGAAATAATTTACGTCTATTAGTAGAAGTGCGATTTATAAAATTAGTACTTGAAGCATAAATCGCGGGAGGAATATGTGCATCAGTTTTCAAATATTTATTATTTACTATATAAATTCTAAATTGAACCACTTTCACTTCTTTAGTTAACAATGTATCTGTTTTGACAACTAAATAGGTAATTAGACAAAATAATTATTAATTTCAAAACAGGAATTTAAAGAATTAGAAAGAGGTAGCCCGGGCCCAGTTAAATGGTCAAGCTTATTCCAGTGGAAGCAATAAGGAGGATTTTTCGTTTTGGCACAGCTGACATGCTCTCTCTAGCACTACAACCCATGAAACTGTGGTAAAAAGCATGCTTTATTTATACGGTTGTGAAACACAACAATTAACAGAGACAGATTAATATCGAAGAAAGATATCTCGTCGAACTTAATGCAATAAAGTATGAGAATAGAAGGTACAGTCATGGATGGCATACAACGAAAGCAGCTCAAATGGGTACAGGTCCAATAAATGAAAGACAGTAGACTCCTAAAACAAGTACCTGTATGAACACCTACCGTAATCTAGAAGAGAGGATTACCTTAGAAAACACGGATGGAAGGAATAAGAAACTTAATGAGCTCGAAAGAACTTAAAGAACAATGGAACAACCGAATTGAATGAAAAATGAACGTCGGAAGACATTTTATAAGGATTATATCATATTATAGGTACATTTTTTGGACTAAAAATAAATTTGAAGAAAACCAAGTTCATGGTATTTACAAAAGCACAAAGCATCAAAGTTAAGCTAGTACTAGATAATACAGAAGTTGAACAAATATCTTTGTACAAATACCTTGGAGCATGGATCACAGAAGATACTGATTAGACAAAAGAAATAAGATGCCGCATTGGAATTGCACGGTCAACTTTTAATAGAATGAGAAAACTTTTTTGTAATCGAGATATCAATATATCGCTCCGGATAAGAATGCTTTGATGTTATATTTTCTTTACCCTTTTATATGGGATTCAAGCTTGGTCACTTAAAAAATCCAACATTAAAAACCTAGAAGCATTCGAAATGTGGTGCTACCGACGTGTTTTGAAAATATCATGGATGGATCGCAAAACAACCGAACAAGTTCTCGAACAACTAGGAAAACAATGCGAAGTTTCAAATTCCATAAAAATCAGGAAATTAGAATACTTGGGGCACATCATACATCACACATCAAGACGTAAAATCTAGTGGTTACGCAATATCCGTGACTGGTTTGGATGCAATTCAACTGAACTATTCAGGCGCATATCCAACAAAATGATAATTGCCAGAATGATTTCCAATCTCCAATAGGAGTGGAACTTGAAGAAGAAGAATAAGTACATTATTATTATATCATATTATATATATTTATATAATATATGATATACACGATATTGAAACAGGTTACAATATAGACAATCAACAAAATCTACATCGACATCTACACAGTGAACACCCAACAATAATAGAAGTGTCAAATGCCGTCCTAAAACTCAAAGACAATAAAGCCACAGGAATCGATTAAATCTGTTGGAAAATATATAAAAAAAGGTGATGATCAACTTTTTGCAGTAACCCATAAACTAATAGTACTTATATGGCAAAATGAATTTGTACCAGAAGAGTGGCTAAATAAAATAATATACGTTGCATAAAAAGGACGATTAACTGGATTGTAAGAACTATAGAGGCATTACTCTGTTAGCATCTTCACCTGTTAGCACCCTGCTTGGCAGGGTCACATATCAGATCAATTTACGGTTGCAAAAGGCTTGAGACAGGGAGATCCTTTATCCACTACATTATTCAACTTAGTATTAGAAACTGTAATCAGAAAATGCAGCATGAAGATGGAAGAAACGATCATGAAAAATGAGCACCAGTGCTTGGCATTTGCTGATTATCTAACGTTCCTAGCAAAAACCGAGTAAGAATTAAAAAGAGTTGTGAAGAAAATCATCGAAGAAGCACAGAAATTTGGATTGGAACTAAATGATGACAAAACTAAATATATGATCATGGAAGGAAAAGAAGGGAAAAAAGAAGACTTTAGTGTGAGGTCAGTAAGTGGTAAAAGCTATAGTTTTAAGAGGGTGGACAAATTTGAATACCTAGGTGTAGTTTTCGATGAAAATGGAAAAGAGAAATGGGAGCTCGTAGCCAGAATAGCAAAAGGGAATAAAAAATTAGGTGGTTTAAGAGCCCTACTGAACTCAAAATACGTTTCTAGACAAGGTAAACTCAGAATATATAAAACAGTAATTCGACCCACAGTAACATATGCCGGTGAGCCTGGACATTAAATAAGAAGGAAGAGGATACTCTGTAAAGATGGGAAAGGAAAATATTGAGGTGCATATTCAGAGGACGGAAGGCAGAAGATGGTTGGGAGAGAAGAACCAACAATGAATTAATGGCTTTATACAAAGAACCTACTATTACCAAGTTCGTCAAGGCACAAAGAATCAGATGGTTTGGACATGTGGAAAGAATGGCAGCAAACAGAATTCCTAAACTAGTAGTAACCAGAAAATTAATCGGCCCCAAAAGAAGAGGTAGACCCAGAACGAGGTGGATTAGTAAAGCGGAGGAAGACCTTAAACACGGGAAGGTGAGGGAATGGAAAAAAAAGCACAAAATAGAAGCGAATGGAAAAATATTGTACACCAGGTCCTTCAGAGTAGTTAAGAATGTTATATATACATATTTAAGTTAAAGTTTTGTTTAAAATAATTGTAATTAGTTAATATTAGAATTATGTTGTAAAAAAAATGCTCTAGGCCTTAACGGCCTGTTGTGCGTAAAAATAACTACAATAACTAAAAAAGTTGTCAGCTACCTGGATTATTGAGTGTCACGAGAAAATCCTTATTAGCCTGGACTAATATGGATGGGCAAGCAAGTGAAGAAACAAACTTCATATATTATGTAAACTTTACTAACAAAAACGTTGAAAATAAATATTTCTATAAATATAAATAATCAAATTCCATATTCAAATACAGCAAAATTATTGGGTATTGTCCAATAAATATAAATAATCAAATTCCGTATTCAAATATTGCAAAATATTTGAGTATTACTCTAAGCTTTTATGTAAAGAAGAAAAGAAAATAATAATTCTGATTGAAATACAAAAAAATGTACTGGCTGATTGACCAAAATTCTATGCTGTTTCTACATAATAAATTATTATTATATAAGCAAATACTGAAACAATAGTATTATTATAAAAACAGTATAAACATTTAGAAGGAAAATGTTAGAAATCAACAAAAAATATTTCTATTCATATAAAAATTTAATCAAATTATAGGTACTTATTATAGGTACTGCTTATTTATATAAAATTTCCTCAATCGGAACATAAACGTCTTCGTGAACTACCCATTTTAAAAAAAATTAACACACTGGTTTGTCAAAAGTCGAAATAAACCCTAATAATATTATTCAACATTATTTATGACCCACCTTCGAGAGGGTATTATACTTCTTACCTAACCAACCTAACCGTGTCGGCGAGAATCCAGAAACTATCGACAAGGACAGCCTGTACTGGCCGAGAGAGAAAGTTACATTTAGCAAAATTTGAGATTTTAAAAAAAGTTTATACCAAATAGCTGCTTTGTGTTACA